TCAGATGGAGCTCTGGAATTACTCATCACTCCTCACCACAAAGAATATTTGTTTTTCTGTTCTTAATCCACTCACGCTTTTCTCTTTGTTGAACAGTTTGCTGCCAGTGTGTCAAAATTATCTCTAAATTATGTTGAGTCACTATGGAGATCCCTGGAGCAACAGCCTGGGAAAGTCTTGGGTTTGCTCAGAACAGGCATTTCAGGAGATGTCAACGATGATGGTTCTCTGACTGCAGTGATGTGCAGGGTTATTACTATCCTAGTAATTGCTGGAGTAAGACGCCCCAGTGTTAACTAATCGTTCCTCTCTGAAACATAACACTGGTGATGTTTCCCCAAGGAGGTTGTGACTGAAAGCCTTAGAATTGCTGGTCACATTGTCAGTTAATCCAAAACTTGTTGACTTTCTTTCAACTCCGTTGGCCAAGCCCTCACCTAGGCACGCAACTGAGAGCCTGATTCTGGCCAGGAGCCAGCACTGGGGTGGAAGAAGTTGCATTGCATGTAGCTGCTGCCTGGAGGATGCTCCGACATTGTGCTTTGCTCTTGACTACCGCTTGTGGGAGGGTTGTGATAGGATGTTTGCCACTCTGACACTGTGTTGTTCCTGAAGCTGGGCTAGGAAGTCCATTTCCCGTTCCTCATCCCATTCCCAGGAAGCTAAAGAGCTTCAAGAGAATCAGAGGCTGAAAGTTTCCCATGGTAACAGCTTAGGATCTGTCCCGGTATTGACTCTGGTTATAATTGATGGGTGTTTGAAGGACAAAAAATGTGTTACTACGCAGTCCATCAACTCTGGCTCTTAGGCTTTCTTTAGAAGCTTTTGATGATGCCTCACACAACTGCAGCATCTAACCTGAGCTATTGGTGTGTGCCAGGACACTCCTGGAGTTCTGAGCTAGGAACTGTGCATCAGTGTGCCAAACCTGTCCTTTCCAAGGCATGCAGGGGGTCAGGGAAGGGGAGCTGGCTTGGTCTGATCTGGAAGGACAATGCACATGTTCATTATAAAACCAACTTCAGTTTCCGCTGGCAGTGGTCAGCAAATCATCATCAAAGCTAATGGGAACTCATCCCTAAAGTTGTAGCTTCATGCTGTAAATTACTTAGTTTCTTGTTACTGCTGACTCATAAATGCTGGAAACCCTGAGGAACTTGACTGACAAGAGGAAGGAGGGCTGTTGAAGGTAAATATTAGTAAAGGCACTGCTAATGCTGTTAAAGTCAGCTTTAAAAGGATTAGCATGAGTATTGTTTCTGAACAGCCACTGCTGTTCTTGGACCTATTAATTTTTAAATAAATATCACTAATAGTTCTATAAATCTGACTCCTGCAATTTTGCATGCTATTATTTTGAGCTTATATGGTAAATCCCTCAGGAATGGCACACGTTTTATGGTATCTGTCCCTTTAGGGTATCCAGTGTAACTGGAGCATCTAACAATTACTGGAATTTACAGGTTACATAAGATAACAAGTCCAAAATGCTAATCTGACATTTTCTGCTAATTCCCCAGAAAGTTTGTCAACTGTCAAAGAGCAGTCAGTAATTCACTTGCTCCTGTCCATTATTTTTACTGATTTATCATTACAGCTGCTTGGTGAGTTTCAGGCTTAAAGACTAAACTCTCCCTCCCCCAAAGAAGTCTTTCTGTGCAAAGTGAGACAAAATCATAGAATCTCAGGTTGGAAGGGACTTCAAGAATGATCTGGTTCAACCTTTCTTGGCAAAAGCACAGTCTAGACAAGAGGGCCCAGCACCCTGTCCAGCTGAATCTTAAAAGTGCCCAATGTTGTGGACTCCACCACTTCCCTGAGGAAATTATTCCAATAGATGATCATTCTCATTGTGAAAAATTTTCCTCTTGTGTGCAATCGGCATCTCCCCAGAAACAGCTTGTACCCGTTACCCCTCATCTTTTACATGTGACTCCTTGTAAAAAGGGAGTCTCCATCTTCTTTGTAGCCACCCTTTCAATACTGAACACAGTGACAAGGTCTCCCCTAAGCCTTCTTTTCTCAAGGCTGAACAAATGTAGGAGGGATTTGATTTAGGCACCTGACTTAGGGCTGAGCCAGCCAGCTAGACTCCCTTGATAGTCCACAGCAAAGGAGGTTTTGGACCGCCAATCTCTGGCTGCTCTTCTGCATTTTTGGAGGAATGTCCCATTCTCTCCACTGCTACAATGGCCAGGGTTTAACCAGCTTGGCAGGCTTTAGGTCAATGCGTCAGAAGTCTCTCAAAGCTTCTGGCCTTGCAAAGATCTCTGCCTGCTGCGGTGAATGATTTGATTATTTCTCTTTTAATTTCTCAGGTGATCACCCTAGGAATGAGACCAGGGCAGTAGCTGGTCAACTTAGGTGCTTGTAATTGGTGATGTTAACGCACTTCTGGCAGGCACATGGTACCTTACCATCCTCATCCACTTTGGGGCTGGCTGAAGACCACATCCCCATGAGATAAGGATCAAAATTGATAACAAACCCACAGTTGTCTTGATTTCCAAAAATGACAGACGCTCACAGAGGCTTTGATTGCGATAACCATAGTTATGAAGGTCTTCGCAGTTTCCTGTCTTTTTCTGCCAACCTTGAATAAGGTCCATTGCCATGGTGGTTGCAAACTGCTCTGCTGACCCTGATGGGTAGAACAATACAGCTTTCCAAGTTGGCATTTTACCATTTGGTTTGGCAGGGTGGAACAGTGCCTCATGTGTAGGCTGGGCAGCAGAAACATGCCTTGCTGCAACTCATCCCTCTCGTGCTTGTTTACACACTTAACAATTTAAGTCCTGTCCTTTATGGCATAGATTTTGCTTAAATTATGGTTATGAGGAAGCTCTAGGCAACACTTATCTGGGTTGTTCTAATTTTTTCCACAGAATAAAGGACTTCAAAGCATGATTAACATGTTGTAGATACAGAGTTCTACCATAATGGAATTAATGACATGTTGCTGCAGTTTTAGGTCTTGATAATGAGTCATAGTTTCACTTTAGAACATGATCTTATCATCCTCCTAAGCAGACCCTTCATAGCTCTGCAGGTCAAGGTTATTTTCTTTGCCATAAAAGGCAATTTTTTTCCTCTGCTATACTAAGATCAGAGTCTTAAATTTATGAACCTTCTGGTCTTTACATGGTGTAAATGTGCTCTATCAATTGAAGATATACCTAAAGAGGATTACCCTACATAAAATCTGATCTTATATTGTTTAAAAAAATTTGAAAACCAGCCTTGTAGTGTGCTAAATTAAGGTCTCCTGAGCAAACCTATGTAGTACAGATGCTATAAACCCTCCTTCTCCAGTGATAAATTTGCTTGTTATTTCATTGTATAAAGAAGTTGTAATTCTCCATAGAAATGGAGAATCCACAGATTTATGTATTCTCCTGCTTCCAGCTGGAGAATTTGAATTTCTTCAACACATTGACCAAGGAATTCAAGCTAAGTTTCCAAAATCTAATGAAGAATTTTGCACACTTTCTTTGAAAAGAGACGTTTCTCTGTGTGGTCAGCTACGGCTCGTGATCATGAAGAAGCCTAAGTCAGGTGTCAGATGCATATCACACCGCATTGGGCTCATAGCCCCTAACCCCAAAAAAGATAATTACAGCAATTGAAGGAGCTATCCAAGTAACAACATCCGATTTGCAAGTAAATGAGATAATCACCAACAAATAGGTCTTCTAGCCTCAGGCAGTTGGAAGAATTGTATAAAAGCTCTCGCAGCTCAAGGCTCTTTACCTGCTTCTCCTAGCTTTCCCTCTTCAGAGGATCGGGTAAGCGCTTATTCTTTTGACTGTTACATTTTCAGTTTTAGCGTAAAGCTTTGTTACTCTCAGAATTGCTATAGCTGTCTGCTCTAAACAAGTGTCTACTGCATGCAGTCTGTTGTGAACTTTGACAGATGCAGATTTGGGGAGCTAATGTGGGGCACTGGATTTTTCCCATTGAGCACACGAGGGTCTAAATTCTCTCCTCTGCTTTGTACAGTCTCGCTATAGAAATACTTTGATACTGGAGATTATTTTTTAAGACTGTTATTTAGCCAGATTCTCACCTAATCAAATGTTCATTCTTTCATGTACAGCTATGAAAGTTTAAAATTTTAACCCTTTTTCTCTTTTCATGCGTACACAAATTCATGTCTCCTGTGTGTGTTTGAGGTCTGGGCAGGTGGAAATACATAGAAAGACCCAGTTTTCAGGATAGGGTGCAATTTTGTGCTAGATAAATAGCTCCATAATTGAGTGCACCAGCAGTGAATATTTTTTTTACAGAAAATTAGAAGAAACTAGGATACCTGTGAGAAAGCAGCAGGCTAGGCTATGCCCAAGTCTAATCTCAGGTAGCAGTTCTCCCCTTCTTTGTAGAACAAGCCTTTTTAGGTCCAGACCCTGTCTGATGCAATTTACCACTGTATTCGTGCTAATATTTGCTTATAGTGGGCTCTTTGACAGCATATATTTCTGTGAAAAGGGAGTCTTATTCTGTATTTAATCTACACCTTGAGGCAAGAGGATGTACTGCTGTCAGTGCCCTGAGGGACTCAGGAACTCACCTAATACAGGACATCCAGTCGGAGAGCTCCTGAGGGCAGGCTCCTGCTTCTGCACTGGCTCCAGGCGTGATCACAGAAATGTCACAGGGTTGTGCTTAGCTAGCGCTTCTGCCGAGCTCTGAAGCAGCCAGAATTTCTAACAACATTTTGAAACAGAAAGAATCAGGTCTAGCTTGGAATTAGGATGAAACTTGGGTTTGTTTTTTTTTTAGGCTGGCTATTTGTAGAAAGCAATCTATCCATAAGCATTAGCAGAGCACCCAGCTGCCCTCCAAGCTTCTCTGTCACTCCTGTTGTATGTTCATCCCAGGCGCAGGAAGGGATTGGTGGGTGACAAACTTCACTGCAAGGAGCTGTGCACCAATTGTAAGGGACCAGGTGTTATTCTGATCTCCTCCTCCCTGTGTTCCAGACTTACCTGCTCTCCAGAGCCATGTCTTACTGCAGAGACCTGTGCGTGCCATGCACCCCCCCATGTGAGCTGACCTGCCCTCCGCCCTGGGCGAACACCTGCAACGAGCTGTGTGTGACATCCTGCGAGGACTCCAAAGCTGTCATCTATCCACCACCTGTTGTCCTGACTTTCCCGGGACCGATTCTCGCCTCTTGCCCTCAGGAAAGCGTCGTAGGCAGCTGCGCACCAGTTAGTGTTCCAAACCCATGTGGTCTTGAGACCAATGGATGCAGGAGCTCTGGAAATGCTTCTGGCTTGAGGGGCTCCATTCTTCTTGCAGGCTCAAATGGGGGTGCATGCAATAACAACAGGCCTTGCAATCCCCCAGTGGTAAGGGGAAATGGAAATGGTAACACATCCTCTTACCGCCGGTAGAGAACCTACAGCTGAGGAAGCTGTGGGCCATGCTAAATATGTCACAGGACTTCACTGCACCAGGATATGGAAAACATGATGGAAAATCACGGATGGGAAACTGAGCCTGAGCAAAGCTGAGAGCTCACTGCTCTGACTGAAACCAGGAGGAGCTGTGAGCCCTCAGCAGTGCCCAGGAAGACAGGCATATAGGTAGAGCTGGGCAAACTGTAATTACACACACAAACAAAAAAGATTTAGTTGGGGTTCAGCAAAGAAAAAATTTTTCAAGGAAGAAGAAATATCCACCTGGAAAACAATTCCTTTTAAAACCTCAAACTTTAGATTTTAAAGTAGTGATTTTTCCTAGAGAGATGTCAAGGAGTTCATAATGTTTTTAAGTACTTTTCTCTTTCAAAACTCTTATTTTCTCCCCACTTAGATTACTTTAACTGAAAGTTTTCATTGCCCTAAAGCTCCATCTTGGAGAAAATTTGCTATATGTTAGAAAAATATAACCAGCTCAACCTATAAGCATGTTTTCCATATTGCGCTTTAGGCTTTTGGCATCTTCTGTTTATACTTTCCTGCCTATGTATTGATTGCGCTGTTCTTACGAATAGGATGGACGTTTGGCTAACAAAAACAGATCTGTGCGCTGCAATTATTGAGGTGTCCTCAATACCCTCGAGGTTAAACAGTTTATTGTGTGGTAGGAATCTGTACATCATTTTGTGGCCTTCCACAGCACTACACTACAAGAGTAATGGAAACCTCATTTGCCTTACTATGTCTGCTTTAAAATGAATATAATGTAAAGGGGTAAAAGTAGGACTTATAACTCAAATTATGCAGCTGTAATAAGGAAATCAGAAATTTTTCTACCAAATGCATGACTTTGTATCACAAACTTTGTGACATAAAGGGTCCTGAAATGTCTGTCCTTATTCTCTGTGTTATTGCAACTGTTAGCTCTGCTTATTGTGCCTATTAAAAGCCGTATTGCATAGCACTGACCTGGTGTTCCTGCTGTCTGTTTTCCACTTACCTCCATCCCAATGAAGAGTCTCGTCTCCCTTCAGAGCTCCTTTATTTCTCTTCCAGATGGGACAGTAAGTTTTCAGTGTCACCCAAAGGCAGTTTCCTTCCGCTCGCAAGCATTGAGTTACCTTGGGAATAAGAGTTTTGGCCCTTCAGTTTTAGCAAAAAGAGAATGCTCTTAATAGCCAGAGAAAGTCATGGTACACACATACCTACAGCACACTGCACCCCACTGCTTCTGCCCTGGTTGGTCCAGCTCCATGCAGAAGCTGAAGCCAGATCTTTCCCAGGCTAGAAATGGAAATCTATTCCTAGTACTGGCATCTGCAACTAGCAGAAGACTTTAAGCAGCAAATATACTTTTAAAATGCAATGAAGATACTGATGGCAACTCCTTTCTCTTTGTAAGCTAGGGGGAGGCTGAAGATAACCTCTGATCCAACAGTCTAGCACGACTGTTTAAACCCATCCCTTTCACCACAAATCCTTACAAAAGATTTTTAGGGATGTCCACATCTTGTGGATAAGTGGGCAATACAAACAACAACCAGGACACCTTGTCCCTTGCTTGTTGATTAACACCCAGAGGGGCCTGGGTCTCAAAGGATGCATCATTTTAGCATCATTGTCCAATAGGTCTAAGCTGAGGAGAGAAGGAAACTGGAAGGCAAATGTTGTGATGCGATATAAACTTTAATTGAAACAGGACAAGGACTTCATAGGAGCAGAACATAACAGTCCAGAGAGTACAGAATACATTTGCAAGGTTTGCCGGGGATGGATGTGGTTGTCTTCTTTGGGGGCTGCAGTTTGTTAGATGATCTTCTTTCTGTCTTCTGTGCATTTGCAGCATTTGAGAGTCAAGTTTGGTTTTCAGCTGATTCTTCATTGGGATTTTTTGTTTCTGTTGGTTGGTTTAAGTCCCCAGACTACATGAAACAAGGTAGCTCCCTGAATCAGACTGGAGCTTTAAGAACTTTTTGCACTGTGTCTGAAAAGCCATGAAGCATCAGTCCACATACGAGGCCAGAACATACAGGATCTATTTTGCATTGATATTTAGTCTTCTCTAAACCCCTCTAATTTAGACTAAGGCCTTTTCTATAGTTCTCAAGTAAACAGCCCCTCAAACACAGAGTTGGGATCTTGTTAGCAGAAAACTAACCCAACAGGAAGGGAAATACAGTGTCTGGGCTTATTTCTCAGGGTGGTTGAGTCCCCAGCTCTTGAGCACCCCCACTGCAGCCCGGTACGCTGCCCCTCTGAAAGCCATAACCCTCTGCTCACTCATGGACTGGGACTCTGCTCTGGTCCCTGCTGGGTCCAGCTCCCCAGGGAATCCCTGCAGGGCTTAGCAGGGCCCGCAGCTCCCATGACGGTAAGTCGTGTACCTACGGGAATAGCAGGGGTAGGAGTACCTGCCTCCCAGGTAAGCACCAGACCCGAAGGAGCTCTGGGAATCCAGGGAGGTCCTGTAGCCAAAGGAGCTGCCTATCTCCAGTGGGGCTGAGGTGCCCACGAAGCTCTCCTGAGGGCAGGAGCTGAGGATGGGGCCCGGGAAGGTGACGACCACAGGCGGTGGGTAGACCACGGCGCGGGAGTCCCCACAGGAGGTGACGCAGGGCTGGTTCCAGGCATTTGCGTACGGCGCTGGGCAGCTCACGTCGCAGGGTGAGTAGCTGCAGGCCTGTCTGTAGGAAGACATCTTTCTGTCTGGAATCAAGCCTAAAACACACAGGGTAGGGAGAGTATGAGTCAGGGGCAACAGTGCAGGTGCGTTTGCAAAGGGGAGCCCTCATTTATTCAAACCATACAATATCCAGAAAGTTACTCTTCTATAGCTAAGTGCAAAGTGTGATTGCAATCCATATGCAGAAATAATGAAGATTAGACAACCTGTTAGAAGTTAGTAAAGCCTCACTAAGGACAGATGAGCAGTAACCTAGCAATATTTAAATTCTTAAAACTATTGCCTTCATTTGCAAAGCATTCCCAGGCACAAATAAAAAGATTAAGTGTTCTTTTTCTGAAACACACAAGCATCTCCTAAAGCTCCATGCTCTCTGTATAAATCCCATACCCTCCAAAGCCTGCCAAGCTGAAATAAGTTACAGAATTTTTAAAATGAAAATAGCATTCTTCCAATAATAAGCAAAGACATATTTAGTGCTCAGACATAAGTACATTCAAACTCCTACTAAAGTGGCTTTTAAATCCATAAAACAGATTTATCTGAAGTCAGACTTACTCAGTTCACCACCAAGGAGAAGCCAAGAAGAGTGGTTTGAAGAGTTCCGAGCTCCAAGCACTTTTATACTGTTCCTCAGAGCAGTTCCAGGGTCTGAGCCACACTTTGGGCATGCAGTCCTTCCTAGTTACAAAACAAACTTTCCTGCATTTGTCACGTCAACGGGTGGAGGAATCTTTGCATATTGTTTGCTGTTAAGCAATTATTAGTGGAATGGTATCACATCCATTTTGCAGCCTACAGAAATCTTTCATCTCAAAATAGGGACAGTATTCACCCTTAGTTTCTTTCTACTCATTGCAGAAATTAACTTCCTTTTTCCACTTGTATAAGCTTCAAAGCACATAATTCAGATCAGTAGGATTGCTGATTTGACAAAAAAGATTTTTTTTTTAAAGTAATGTATTGAGTTTGTCGTGCTTGGTGTAAAGGTTTTCAAACCTTTTAGTTGCAAAGGGAGGTGAAACTTAAAGACCTCTATAGCGCCTTGGCAAGATAGGCAGGAAATAGTATGTAGGGGAAATAATCTGCAGACCACAGCCCTCGGGTGCTTAAGTTATGGTGATCATCCTGTTCACAGGATTATTATATATTGCCCTAGTTAAAAACAATACGAAAAAGGGCAAGGAAACCCTTGCTTAGAAACGCTAGGAAGGAATCAGCCTCGTGCACAAGTTACTCCAAAAGGCATCACTTAACAACTCCTTTCAACTTCACATCAGACCCATGCACAAGTTACTCCAAAAGGCATCACTTTTAACAACTCCTTTCAACTTCACATCAGACCCTTTCAGTGGGTCCTTGTCTAGCTGTGTACAGGAGTTTGCAATGAATTTACAACTGGAAAACTGTATCCAGCTCCTCATTGGATGTAACAGGCCACAGAAGAAAGCAAGTGGGTAAACACTGGGATCATCCTGCACCTACATATAAATTTGATGATCCTAAAGGATTCACAAGTAAAGAATATTAATTATGGCATTTAGCAATTGGAGACCCGAGTTAGATTACACATGGTGATTCCTTCTTGACAGCAGAACTCATTTATGGAACCACGTCCCTGCCCTACTGTGAGCTGTAATCTGCACTCCTGTAGATTTATGGGCAGGATAGAAATGCTCTGTTTTCTGTGCTATTTATTTTAAACCAAGGCATTAGCCTGGTCTTGCTCCTGAACCTACTAGGGAAATTACATCGTGGAAAACAGAAAATAACATGGAGTCTAGACCAAGGGCAAGGTAAAGATGTCCTGGTTAAGGCACAGTGGTCTGGAGCAGATTTCCAGTGTAACCTTCGCCAGGAATTTGGGGAGGGGTTTTCAGATGCCCTTGTTGTGTTGCACATGCTGGGGCAAGGACAACCAGCCCTCTGCCCTCACTGCAGGAGGCTCTCTCTGGTAGGGATGGTAATCCTTCTTTCACCATACCTAAAACCTGTGAGTTTCATTTATTGGTTCCTGACAGCAGTGACTGGCTGAGCTCTCTATTTTCATGGTATCTGGGCACCAACCTCGCTTACATAAGCTAAGAGATAATAGAATTATAATTATAAATAATAACACTAACAAGTACAAGACATGCCCGAGATCTCCTCCCAGAGGCTCACTTAATTGCCAAGAGATGTTTGGTAAATTATTTGGCCTCTGTCTTAATCATCTCTTCTAGAAATCATCAGTAGTGATTTCCCATTTCGTGTGGGTGTTAACACAGGCTTGCACAGAGCAGTATTTTACCTGCTGAGAAAAATGCTTAATATAGCACAAAACTGCAAAAGAGAAAGGTTAACTTGGAGACAGAAGAAATCAGACGAAAACTTGGCTGTGGTGTGCACTCAAAGGATGCAGTGATCCATGAGATGAGTTTAAATGAAATGAGTTTCATGGGCAAAACCCCAAACCCCCAGGATCTGTCAGACCTGGAAAGCGGCAACAGAGTCCTTAACACTGGACTCTCAGTCTTGCAACATATTCTTCTTGGTCCTGTGAAATACCTCTGGAATTATATCCTTAAAAAGCCAGATAGATGATAGTCAAGGTTGCTGTTGCAACACTAATGCAACACTCATCTGAGTTAGGACGTATTCTCAAAGGGATGGTGGAAGAACAACAGATGGCGAAGGATGTCTGTAAGATTCAGTGGGAGAGCTGGGAGGAGCGCTTAGAACCCCAGGTCCTCATTTTTTTTTATCTCCTGCACTTCGACACCAAGTCAAGGACCATTTTTTGGACAACTATAAGAAACAAAATCGGAGATTGTCGAGCTCCAAGAGAAGACCCAAGGCAGCAGTGCCAAATGCAGTGCATTGCACAGATCATGGATACAGTGGAAGAATTCCAGCATCTTCTCAAACCTCTCAAGCATAGGTTTGTCAGACCTATTTTTCCCTTTACATCCTAACCTGTGGGTGATGTTTGTCCACCTCCTGTAAGTCCTGGAGTATACGGGTCCAAGCACAGCCAGGGTGCTATCCTGGGGCATACGTGCCATTGTGATGGGTAGAGAAACATAAGCAAATGGGAAGCATGTCTGTCAGGGTTTTGGACACCAGCCACGGAGCAAATCCCACTGGGAAGTGTTCTGAGCACAGTCTTGCTAGGACCTCACCCTACACAAAGCCAGCCGCAGGGCGGGTGCAGGTGTGGCTATCCCCGGCTGGAGACTACATGGTTAGGAATGCAGCTCTTGCTTTAAAAGACAGCATTTTCACAACACCCCTGTAGTCTAGGTGGTTGTTACAGGAAAGGCAATTGAGACATCAGGGCAAAGTGTTTGTCTTCGCATCAGTTTCTGATTCAGAGGAAGAGCTGGGAAGGAAAATACAGGCGTCCTTATTCCTGCTTTGTTACAGTTAGAATGTGAGTGGGTTTTACTTTCAGCAGCAGGTCCTGCCCTCTCAGGCTGGAGGAGAGGCAGGATGTCTCCATCCAGAAGAAATAAGATAGACGTGGAAGGAAAACCAGTAGGTCATCCAATTTTACAGAAGGGTCACAAAGGGCAAAGAGAAGCTACTGATGTAGCCAAGCATTGCATGCACCAGGCCTCACTTATGGGAGAGGATCTGTCACCATTAAGTCCACAAGGATCACTTAAAGCAAGAAATTCTTTCAGGATGAAGCCCTAAGTAAGAAAAGAGCAAAGCAGACCATCCAAAATCCCAGCAGTCTACACCTCCATCACCTTCCTTCCTTGTGCTAATTGTATTTTTGCTGTTATTCTGTTCATTTTTCTACCCTGCATTTCCTTCAAATATTTTGATTAAATCAGTGAAAGAGATACACACTGGAATGAAGAAAAATAACCAGAGAATATAGGACATCTGTGCAGGGATAGCTGGTTTTTCTCCTGCCAGTCCACAAAAACACAGCTCAGCAGAGGGCAGGGGCAGGAATGTGGCCACTGGCTCCCAGCTTAGATTTACTCAGTGCAGCTGAACCATGCTGGCACTTTGAAGATGTAAATAATATTTCCTGCTGTGTAATCCTTAGCCATCTTTCCATGAAACCTGTGGAGAAACAGTGATTAGACACACATTTTGATGCAGTTTTCCATCTTCATATTTCAGCATCAGCTAAAGATCTGCTGGTGGAGCTGTTACAGGTCTACATCATGGGTCAAAAATCTCATCTCTGATGTCTCTGACATTTTCTTTTTTCCCCAGACAGACCAAAAATGGTTACAAACTGCCTATGCCCACCTAGCACCCCTGAATTGGCTCTGATTCTTCTGACCAGAGTATGGATTTCAAGGAAAACATTAAACAAATTCTGGTTATATTACGCTTCAAAATGGCCAGATAAATCCTTCCTTCTCTACACATGTAGAAAATTCAGGGGCAGCGTGAGTTGCTAGTCAATTGGTGAAGTCTGCTCAGGATACTCACAACCTTATACCAAAGCTGAACAAACGAAACTAAGGTCGCCTACAGCAAAATGTGTTCAGATTTAGGAATTATGAAACTATTTTAAGATCATGCACAAAGATTAACCCATGTGAAAATAAGTGCAACAGGGTACCCTAAGCAACCTTCTGCTGTCATAGAAGTCTCTGTGAAATGTATTTTCACAGACTGTTTCAAGTCGAAAAGGCTTCCCTGGAGATGGACTTGTGTCAAGCTCTTACAAGAATTATGGTTTTAGCAGAATATACTGTTAACAATTAAAGCTGATCTTCTAGCTGCATTTCAATACTTTGGAAACTATTAAATAAACGTAATATTAGCCAAGTTAACAGGGATCATATAACAAGAGGAGCATCCGAAAAAAGATTTGACCACTGAGCACTATTTTCCACTTTCTTAAACTCCTTGTGTGTATGAAACAACCTTGCTCATGAGGGCTTGCTGCTTTACCAACCAATATTTTGATATCAATATATTGCATATTCAGCTCATCTTGATGTTGTAAAACATTTTCTGACTTACCATAATTACTGTGGTGTTCCCTGCTTCATCACATTGTT